AATCTGAGGATGATGAATATTGCAGGTTTGAACATTACTGAATGTGTCTTTTGAGTAACAAGTGTACGTGTTTCTGCTGAGTGTGTAAACGAGGAGTGGCTGCACCAAGTCACAGGGCACACAAGCGTTCCCTGCTTTTCAAAGGGCTGTGTTCTGTCCCTCGATTTTACCAAAGACCTAGAGTAGTACCTGCTTTGAGAAATCTGAAGATGACTTTGGATTTTATGGAAAAAGGAAAAAAGCGGAAACCGTGCTGCGTGCTCACCCTGCAGCAGCTGTTTCCGAGGCAGTGCACACCCCTCCGAGCCCCTCCCTGGCACCCTGGTGTCAAGCTACCCCAGCTCTCAACCGTGCTGCGAACTCTGTGCTTTGCCCTGGTTTATTCCGTGCACACATTAGCAGTGTGTCCTGATGCGCCAGAAAAGCCTAAGTGATATCACTTCTGGGTCGAGGAACACTCAGAAAGTCTTTTGTGCACAGTAATGGTAACTGCTGTGTTTTAGCCTGTTTCAGCGTCCAGAAGGTTTCACAGGAACGCTCACTTTTGGACAGCGAGACAACCTGCACATAGGTTCACGTTTAGCAGGCGGGTGACTGCCAGGTTCCCAAAGTGGCCGTACACATTTACGCTCTCCTGGCAATAATCAAGTGAGCGTTTGGTTCCTCCTGATCTCACCACCAGGCAGCACTGGCTGCTGTCCTGGGCTCAATGGTGGCCCTGAAGATACATCTCTGTCCTGGTCCCTGGAACCTGGGAGCACTGCCTGGTGGGATGAGGGGCTTATCCTGGCTCACCTCAGAGGACCCAAAATGCAATCACATCTTATAAAACAGAGGCGTGCGGAGGAGAAGTGGATGGAAAGACCGGTGGAGCCTAGAGCGATGAGGCCTAAGCCACGGAAGACATGTGGCCACCAGAATCTGGAAACGAGGTGTGTGTGCTCTCCTGGAGCTTCCCTAGGGAGCACGGCACTGCCAACACCTGGATGTGGGCCTCAGGCCTGCCGAGCCGCAAGAATAAAGTCTCGGTGTTTCTGAGCCTCCTAAGGATCCATACATCTGCCTGTCCAGTGTCTGTGCTTGCATGGCGTGCAGGGATGTGTCCCTGGTCTTGTCATGTCCAAGGCCACGAAGACCAGGGCAGCTGAGCACATGTGCACGTGCTTCTGGCCATCTGCATGTCCTCTCGTGTGAAGGGCCTCATTCAGGTTCTGGTGCATCCTTGCTATTGGACTGACTGTGAACAATTTTGACAAACTTTCCCTGCGTGTTTCTGTTTAGTTACTTGATAAATCTTTGCCTTACTCCTTGGTCACGAAGACGTCCCCTCCTCGGTCACGGAGATGTCCTCTATGTTTCTCGTCCACATTATGACCTTACTGCTCCCACTGAGCTCTGGAATTCAGCTGGAGTCGGGTTTTTTGTTTTTGTTTTTTTTTTTTTTTGCATGGAAGGAGGAAGAGATTCAGATTCATGTTCTTCCACATATGGATATCTAATTAGTCCAAATGATATACTGAATGAAGACACTGCCCTTCCCTACCGCACCGCTGCCCACACGCTGGGCACCAGTATGTCCGTCCCTCTCCTGGACCCTCACTCCTCCGCTGGGCCATCTGCCCGTCCTGTTGGAAAGGACTAGAGATGTCGGGTACCTGGGACCAGCCCAGGCTTGGATATCCAGTATCAGTGCATTCCACCTCAAGACTGTGCTGCTTATCTGTGGCATCTTTGCGTTTCCATACAAATATTAGATTGTTTGCCAGTTTCTACTTTAAAAAAAGACGTGAGAGAATTGTATTGAACCTAAAGATGTACAAGCACAAAATGTGCCTCGATTTACATAGGTCTCCTCTATGTCTGCAGTGGTGCGTGAGTGTTCACGAGGCCTCGCACACCTTGTCAGACACTCCTGCGCGTCTCATCTGTTAAAGCCGACTCCGAGTGGCATCCTTTAAACTCCCATTTTCTACTTGTTTGCCGGCAGCCCCTAAGGCAGCCCCTAAGGGTGCCCGCGATGCCCAGGCCTCCTGAAGTCGGGCTCTCTGCAGCTTCCTCCCACACGTCAGCGCTGACCTGGACGCGGACACGATGCTACAACTCTGACCTGTTCATAGAAGATGCTCCCTCTCCCTTGGGTCACTCGCTGGGAAAGCCACGTACATGGCTTAAGGAGGGGCCCGGTGCTGAGTAACTGAGGCTTCTGGCCAAGAGCTGTGTGAATGAACTTGGAAGCTAATTCTTCAGCCCTGCTCACATCTTAAGATAAAGATCTTGGCGAACATGCACCGCACCCTCAAGGGACGCTGACCCAGAACCACGCGGCTTGGCCACTTCCATACCTGACAGAACCGACGTGGGATAACGCGTCCGTTGTTTCAAGCCTCGAGTCTGGAGGTCATCTGTCACGTGGCAGGTGATAATTAGTAGACTTCCTCATACAGAAGCCTCTCGCTTCTGCTCTTGTCCCCACATGGTCTATTTCCAACACAGCGGCCTATGACCATGTCAAGTCTGAAGCAAATCACGCTGCTTGCCCCTCGAAATCCTCCAATGGCTTCCCACTGACCAAGAGTAAGAGCCAAACTCCTCGTCATGACAAAGGCTCTTCGTAATCTGGTCACCCATGATCCGACCCCCACTCCGGCCAGGCGTGTTCTTGGCCCCAGGACTTCGTGCTTCCAACACCCAGCCTCCGGACGGCCTTAGGACGTCGAGGTGCCTCGGCCCCCTCAGGTCTCTGTTCAGGTGGTGCCTTTTAGGGAGGCCCTCCCAGCAGCGCCCTGTTTAAACTGTCCCCGGCATCCTTTCCAGTTTTATTTTTCTTCAACACTCTTAATTTCAATCTTAATTTACTGTTAAACTACACTTAGTTTGTGTGTCTTCCCTCCACTAAAATGACATCTCAGTAATGGGAGGGATCTGGTGTGTTCTGTGACAATACCGCCGGGCACGGGGCAGGCAGGCATCAGTATTTATCGGACGCTCGTGTGAATGGAACGCCTTGCCACCTCTCCAGCACACAACCTGTAGTGCCTGGTATTCACCCCAAGGCCAGAAACTAAAATGGACTCTTTTTTTAAAAGAAAACTGAATTTGATGTTTGAGAAAAGACCTGGGTCTGCCAGCAGGGGGCACTACACACAGTTACGTGGTTTGTGTCCCAAGCAAAGATGGCTGGCTTGGTGCTCGAAGCCTAGGGACATCTTTTCCAATTCCGATCACTCAGAGACAGCGTTACACTCAGCGATTTACATACCAAACGTGGGAAGTTTATAATTAAACTTAAGCTGCAGTCAATTTTATGTTCTCAAACTGATGTAGCTCAGTTTAAAGAATCAAGACCTGGTTGTTTGCACAAGACAATCCAATATCCTTTTTGGCGAAAGTGGGGGGGGAGGAGCCCATTCATATTTTCCCACTGGGTCTCACATTCGTGGGCTTTCATTCACTTTTCTTCTCAAAATTAGGATCTAGATACACAAGATCCACCCGCATAACCACTTTGTTTTATTCTCTCCTCTTTGACCTAAAAGCTAATAATTCAGTCTTGCAGCCCTTGCTTCATCCTCTGCACCACCCCCTTTTAAGGATACTCTTCCCCTAAGGCAAACTCCAATTCAGCTTCCCGCATTTGCAAATGAATCTCTCTCCCTGATTTCTCATGTTTAATATGGTCACCCGCCAAATGTAAATCTCTTCTGTTCGGCTACAACTTTGGACAACAATGTTTAAAGGAGCATAACTGGCTTTCCTACCCAATTGTGTTGCATAGTGCTGCGCGCCCCAAACCCTGCTGTGAGGACTGGGTGAACATCAGTGCCGCCAGTGCTCACAACAGTTCCGTGAAGTGGGCACTGTCACCATCCTCATTTCACAGATGAGGAAATGGAGGCTTGGAGTCCAGGTACGTCCAAGGTCACACACGACCACTGGGTGAGGGGACCAAGTCACCTGAGGCAGTCCGGCTGTGGTCCATGCTCTCCCTCAGTAGTTCCCGAAGCTTCCCTCTGGACCCCTGGGGAGCCCAGAGCCCCTCTCCGAGGTGCAGGAGGTCACATCTGAGCTGGTGAGCTGCCTCTGTTACTGTACCGACTGGCAGTATAAAAGCAATGGAGGGCTGGACAGCTGGAGCCTCAAAAGGACAGTAGGAGCCAAAGTGTATGAGTCGTCACCGTGTACTTCACTGATAAACTCTCACCCAAAAACTACAGAGAGCCACTTCCGCTTATGAATGCTCTTGATGGAGCAATAAAATCACGAATTTTATGAAACCATGACACTGACCACACTCCACCGTACGCTTCCTTGTGGGCTCACTGTGACACCTGCTGCCGCGGCAAAGTGGTCCTCGTCCTCATTCCCCCCACAGCCCGGCGCAGGCGCCCCCCCCCCACCCCACAGTGTCCCCTCTCGGGGACAGGCCTACTGAGGAAGCACACCCACACACGTTCAGAGGAGAACGGACAGCGACCTGTAGCCAGCAACCCTGACCTCCAACAGGAATTGAACTATGAATGACGAATGAGTAATACGGTCCCCTAAGGACTGAAAGTTAATCTAAAAAAGAAAAAACATTAAATACACAGAACAATTATTTTCTCAGGATTATATTCCCGGCACTGCAGATCAGGGGTTGGTAAACTTTATTTTTCTAAAGGGCCCTGGAGAAAAGAGCTCGGGCTTGGTGTGCCGCACGGTGGGTGCCACAGCTGCTCACCTCCGGTGGGGTGGTGAGACAGAAGCCACAGACGCAGTAAAAACGAATGGGCATATAGAACTTTCCGGGTGGATAGTATGAACTGGGCACCCATTTCCTCCTGGGGGCAGGAGCTTGACTGGCTATGAAAAGAGAAAACTGACACCACTCTTGGACGCAGACCCTCCCACACCCGGATAATCCCTGCTCGCGAGTGCAAACGCGAGTCCGTCCTGACGCGGGTCATCGCTGCGGCATCAGTGTGTGAGAACCAGAGTTGCAGAAGCAAACGGCCTCCTACCTTATTCACGTACAGAAGGAAGGACAGTGCGCCGCGTTTATGAACAGGCTCGTCTGTGGATAACCTGAAAGGGCTACAAAGGGCCCAGGTTCTGGACGGTGCTGACCTCCGGCGAGCAGGGAGGTGTAGCCGCGATGAGAGGCTGACTCTCTCCGCTTCGGTGTTTCGAATTCTTCACACTTTCTTCTGTTAAATAGATGGCATGTTCACGTAGTTCAGAAATGAGAAGCAATACAAAAACAAAAACAAAACACAATCTCCAGGAGGTACTTTCCATACGTCCACGCCTTCATAGGGGCTGAGCATCCTGCCCAAAATACCCTTCCTTCCACCCGCTGCGCACCCCCTATTTTCTGCACGTTTTGTTTCTATTTATCCTTGTAGATCCCTATAGAGATGACTGCCCTCAGAAGCTTTCCTTGAGCTCTCAGCCCCAGGATGGTGGCGCCTCTACTGGGCACTGCCTCACCGCCTGCACACGCAGCTCTCACAGCGCTCCGCGTTCTGTGCTGTCATCAGCGGTTTGTTTAACAGTCTGTGCTTCACACTCGTTCTGCAAAGGCAGGATCACAGTCCCACACTGGTGGACACAGGGCCCAGCAAACAGAAGGCGGTCATGTGTGCTGATGGATGAATGGACAGATGAATGACGTGGAAGAACTAAAGAATTCAGTACTTCTCAAAAGTCCAATGCTCTTTAGTTCTTTTATGATAAACTATGTCAAAAATAAATGTGTTCTTCTTAAGCACCAGTGTACCCAAAATATACCTTTATTACTGAAATTAAAAATGTGTCTAATCCTGGGGAAAAAAATGAATGGGCATAGCTGTGTTCTAATAAAGCTTTTATTTACAGAAAGAGGTGGCCAAAGTGGGTTGGTGTGGCCAGTGGGCCACAGTTTGCCAATCCCAGTTCTGGATCCAATGCCAGGCACATAGCGATAAGTACTGAAATAGATGCTGGGTGAGCAAATGAATGATTTCCAAAATGTTTTAGTTGGAATATTATCAGAAAAGATACAGCAAAATTATCCGAGAAAGTCAGTTTTATTTTCTTTTGTCCTAGCTCTCCAGCAAGGGTGCCTGTGTGACACACTTATGGTGCCTACTGACCCCCCAGAGACTGTATAAAATAGAAGTTATGACACAGCTCTGCTCTCAACGATCGACAGGTGTAGGACAGGAACATTCATGTGGGACTTTCGTGTACCTGCACAGACAGCACACCTAACTCCAAAACTACAGAAAGCCCTCCTGGCCACAGAAATACGAAATGCTAGTAAGCAGCACCAAAAATATAGTTTGGGAACTTGATTTTCACAGGGGTGTTAAAAAAAAAAAATAGATGCCCAAGATAATTGCTAGGTATTTCAGAAGGTGACTTCTCTCTTTCAGTGAAAATGTGACCCCATGGGGCGAAGGGTAATTCACAAGTGCTCTGGGGGAAGGAGGCACAACCGTGCGCCCTGCAGAGCCACACGGCACAGACGGCGCAGTGGAAAGAACAGATAAAGGACTTGATCTTCGCGTTGGTTCTGATTCTGCAACCTTCAATTTAGATAAAGGGTCAGCTTCTGGTTCCTCGTATTAAAATTCAGCGATAACCTGTCTTTTCTAATTTACAGGACCTGGGAGATCAAGTGAGCTCACGACTGCCAAACACTTTCTGACCCACGAAGCCACAGAAATCTCCACCCCAGTGGCCTTTTCAGATCAAACGCCTGCAGTTCACACAGAGGGGAAGCGCTGCGAGAAGCCGCAGAGGCCGCAGCCATAAACTTGACTCTACCCCTGCCCCTGCCCGCGGTGACAGAGGGCAGCACCCGGGAGGTCCCCTCACCGCGGACCACGCCTGCCCACGAGCGCATCTCAGTATACATGTCACTTCTGACTGGGGCTAGGGGAGGGTTTCCAAATGCTCCTCTCAAAAGTTCGTGAAAGTTACTCCGGATAACTGCCAGTAAAGAACCTAAGTGCTTGTACTTAGTACTGACTGGAGGTGAGGGGGTGGGTAAAGGCCACTATGTGGTCTCACTGGGGCGGCGAACCCCGTGCGCCTGGGGTACAGGAAGATGGGAGCGGACCCACAGGGTCAGGCCACAGGGACAGAAGGAGGGCGTAACAGGCGCTGGTCACTAACACCTCACTAGGCACCATGTTACAGACCCACTCTTACTCTGAAAGGGACTGCAGGCGACCTTACCAGTGTGGCTGTATGACAACATCAGAAGGAAAAACGGCCGTAAAATAAGGAGAGGTCAACAAACAGAACACGTGCCCGTAAGGGCTTATTTGCAAACAAGGAGGCACCATCTGGCTCTATTCTTCCTGGCAGCTCCGCGCAGGACAAGACTGGTGAAGAGGTAAAGCACCCAGAAGAAAAACAAGCTCAATTACCCGTAAGCACGGGTAATCTGGACTCAGATGACAGAAGGGCTCTTGGTCTAGTTTTAGGAGCAGAGCACGCCGGAGAGGGCCGACAAGATCTGTAAAGTAAAATGTAAGTTTCTGGGGTCGTTTACCAGTACCGCCTTTCAATATAAACCCCAGAATCGTGGCCAGTTTCAGTGAACGGCCAGCCTACGAGAAGCCAGAGCGCTGAAGCTAAAATCTGAAGGCATCTAAGAGTATGCACGGTCTTCCCGTCATGCTTAGCATCCAGGCAATGCTTCTCGGAGCTGAATTCTAATCGATGACGGTGGAGGCAGAGGACGACGGTGGGGAGAAAGTGAAGGCAGAAGACTGAAACCTCTCTGCTTCAACAATAGGTTCTTCTTAGTATTTACAGATCAGTGTCCGGCAAAGACTTCATTTGAACTAAAGGGTTTAAATGGCTAAAACACAAATACGGAAAATCCACTCTCAGTTCCCAATTAAGAGCATGTGATGCCCAACAGCAGGCCATCTGAGATGAGGCCGAGACACCGGCACCGACGCTCCGAGCACGGCCAGGCGGTCAGCCCGGGCAGGCCGGCCACTCCGCCTCTGGCTGCAGATGCTCAGAGTACCCACGGGTCATCGTTCCCTCTGACGTTCTCCAAACTCCTTCCCTAAATTACGAAACCACATCAGAAAACCTCATATTTAAGTCTTGGCAAACACTCTGTGAAAATGCCACACAACAGCCCCCATATCTGTGGAAGGGGGGTACTCAGCACTACATCCGTCACTGTCTCCCTGTCAGCAACGTCCCCCCCCGGCCCACTGTGCAGCACCCACAGCCCTCGGCTCCTGCTGTGTGGCTGGTACCACGGTGGCCCCTCCAGGCCAGCTGGCGGGACCTGGGCGATGGCCCAAGCCAGGGACCCAAAGCCGGGGGCAGGGGTGGGGAAAGGGTAGCCCCACACACATGTAAAAAGATACCACGCCGTGAAGTTCTCGCAGTTCTGTAAGAGTTCTCATTCTCATCTTCTGTCTTGAGTGAGAACGGGTGTCTCCAGTATGTTCTGCCCCCTGATCAGTGTGGTGGCAAGTGACTCCTTGTAGGACATGAAGCCCCATTTCTACTCCTTCATACACCCTGGCACCTGCACTGTCTCTAAACACAGAGGCAGTGACTACCCAGCTGACGGCCACACACAGGAGACCCCTGGGCACCAGAACTCCCGACTGATGCCTGCTCTGCCCTGAAAGACGTTAGAGAAGCGGGCCCCCCCACGTCAGCACCGCTTTCAAAGGCGTTTCTGGAGTCGCACGCACTCTGCCAACGTCTACACGTACACGACAGCTCACTTTCCTCCAAGAAGCAGTCACTCTTGACGGAACTCAAGGCTTACAACACTGCTCCATGCGCTGTTCATCCCACCTGAACTTTTGAGGACTTGTACGTGGACTAAAGTCACTTCACCTAAAACCCAGAGAAAACACACCTCACCCTCACCAGGATTTTGCAAGAAATAGTTCTGTTTCCCTCCTGCTTCCTCTGTGGAGTCACGTTTGCTGAAGGAGCCAATCTTCTGTGCTCAAGTAAGAGTTGTGTGTCACCAGGCAAGTTCACCTTTGATGTAAATGCATTACCGATTCAAACCCAACTGTCTAGAAACGTACCAGCCACAAATGGCTACTGAATCTGAAATGGGGCTGGTGTGTACAGCTGGCCAGAGCAGGAGGTCAGGGGAGCTGGGGTCCCCATTCTCCTACGAGGGACATGTCGCCCACATGCCCACCTGAAAATATCTTACTTTGTGATTTCCAAATTCTAGGTTTGGTACTTTGGGTGTTTTGTTAATTTAGACAGAGAGAGAGGGTGTGTGTGGGCACACGTGCGGGCAGACGGAGGGAGACAGAATCTCAAGTGGCTGCACGCTGTCAGCGCAGAGCCAGGGGCGGGCCCTGATCTCAAGAACTGTGAGATCACGACCTGAGCTAAAATCAAGGGCCCGATGCTTAACCAACCGACTGAGCCGCCCAGGCGCCCTGCGATTCCAAATTCTTAATCCTAAAGCCTTACACTCTGTTACTGAGGACTGAGCGCCCACTCGGGCCCCTCCTCTTCAAGCAGCGGTGGCGGTATAACAGCCCAACAGTGCGGGGGAGTGAGGACACAGAGCCGCACAGGAGCCCGCATCGAACCAGAACGTCGCTTCTACAGAGGACAGGCCCAGAGGCACAGATGAAGTCACGCGCTCGGTAGAACGTGCTGGGAGAGGGGACAGCTAGGATCTGACCCCACGCAGCCGGACTCGCGGCCTGACTGAACTGTGTCAAACGGCCTCCACAGCCCCCGAGCTCCGCGCTCCCGCTCCCCCCGAACGCAACAGTCAAAGAGGTGAAACAGGTGCGAACGCTCTAGGGGGACTCTGTTCCGGAAGTGGGCGCAGGGTTGGCGAGAAGGCAGCGAGGGGAGGTAGAGGCACGCGAGGCAGAGGCAGGCGGCTGATGGGCGCTGCTCCCTGGCCAGGCACAGCCCACGTCCCAGCGGGGGCTCGAGGACAGGCAGGCCGGAGTAGAGCCAGAAAAGGAGAAAGCTGCGGAAGTTTCTCTTTCCCACATGTGTCCTTCCTGCCTAATCTCCTCTTCAAGCTCGAAGTTCCATCAGGAATGTTCTGAAGGCCTCCTCACCTTGAACTGTCTCGATTCCTGACACAAATCTACCAAGTGGGGAGGGAAGTGGCCCAACAGAAGCGCTGGGCCCGGTCGGGGAGGTGCCACGTGGCTCGGACTGGGGCGCTGAATTCGTCAGCACTGAGATCGGGGAGGCTGGGAGCGTCCAGGGCTCCTGGAGCGTCCGGCTTAGCGGAGGCCCCCGAATGGCTGTGTCCACCGCCCAGCCTGAAAGGGGGGGAGGGCACACGGCAACCCCGCGTGCCCACACTCCTGAGCAAACCGCACCCCTCCTCCGGCCCCAGCCGGCGCCGGCTGCCGCTGCCAAGAGGTGCCCTCCTCGCGGGTTTGCTAACGCCCCCGCGCCGCCTCCCTGACCCCAGAGACTCAATTTTGACTTTCCTTCAGCCAAAACTTCTATGAGGTGAGAGACAAAGTAAATTGGTGCAAATTTATGCAAATACCCTCCCTCCCACCCCAAGCCTCGGGAACAGTTAGTAAGGGTTTCCTCACTTTAATCTACACGCTCTTCAGGCCGCTTACAGGCCGCTTACGGTGGCTTGGGTCGTTCAAGTTAGAGTCTTACTCCTAATCCTGCCTTGGAAAAAAGCCAATTCAAAACACAAACAAAACCAGGGGACAGGAGGAAAAAAGTCACCCCCTCCCTGCGGGCCTCCAATCGATTCTTACTGATGGCAGTAACTTTCATTAAGAGAAAAAGAAATTTTTCTTCAACAGGTACTTATATTATTATTAGAGCACATTTAAAACACAAAATTGGCAAGTTTAAAAGACTTCCAAATCCATTTAAGGAACAAGAGTTCCTTTATTTAGAAATCTATGTTCTCTCTAGTTAAACAGAGCTATTCAAAATTACTACTTGTAGGGGCGCCTGGGTGGCTTAGTCGGTTAAGCGTCCGACTTTCGCTTAGGTCATGATCTCGCAGTTCATGGGTTCGAGCCCCGCGTCGGGCTCTGTGCTGCCAGCTCAGAGCCTGGAGCCTGTTTCAGTCTGTGACTCCCTCTCTCTCTGACCCTCCCCTGCTCACGCTGTCTCTCTCTCTCTCTCCTAGAAATAAATAAAAAATATTTTTAAAAAAATTACTAATTGTAATTTAAATTGTGAAATTATTCCCGAGTAATTTCCTATATTAATATATAACACTGTATTTCCAAAATACATTTTTGTGGTTGTCTGGTAAAAATATTAATATTAAAAGGCTGAAATCAATTCCAAAATAAACAGCAATCTAAAGAATTCTGACCTCTGGCCTCACCATAATACAATTAGGTAATGCAGATACCAATCCTTAAAATAATTGTGAAAAAAAGACACACGGTGACTAATGATTCTTCCTTATTGTTATTCTCAAAACTATTGTATAAATAAAAATCTACCACTCACTCCACCCTCAGTGCATTACCCACCAGAAAAAAACCAGACCCCAAAGAAGGTCTTATGCCGACTGAAGTGTACCTACGTGTACCTGCAAGCACCTGAGATTTAAACATTTAAGTGACCGCCCCCATCACACAGGGTCACACAGGGTCCCAGGCTTGAGGCTACTCACACAGTTGAGGCTGATGCGCAACCAGCTGTCCTGTATCTTGAGACAGACATTAGCTTCCTGCCTTCCCTATCCTCATAAGCAGCTACTTAAAGTCTGAGTTTTATGCAAGAAAACATTTTAAAGCCTTCAGTGTTTTACTGCAGCAGACTTCAGATTCATTCCTGTAACACATTTAACATGAAACAGAGTTGAGACAGTTAAAATTGTGTACATTTTAATTGTCTAACATTTTAGGGAGTGCTTTCACTATTATAGCTACATAAAAACGGGTGCTGAGGTAAAATTAAGAAATAAAAACATTTCACGTGGTATTTGACACCGATGTAGAATACAGCAATATGTAACTTTACCATATAGAGTTTTCTTCACCTGGCCACAGGCTAGGTGGGCAAGGATTACTTTTTATGCAATCATTGATATCTCAAATAAGCAAAACTAGGTATTTTTCTTTTTCTTTTTTTTTTTTTAATGTTTTATTTATTTCTAGGAGAGAGAGAGAGAGATAGCATGAGCAGGGGAGGGTCAGAGAGAGAGGGAGTCACAGACTGAAACAGGCTCCAGGCTCTGAGCTGGCAGCCAGCCCAGAGCCCGACGCGGGGCTCGAACCCACGAACCGCGAGATCATGACCCAAGCGAAAGTCGGACGCTTAACCGACTAAGCCACCCAGGCGCCCCAAAACTAGGTATTTTTCTGTTTCTCTAAAGTTTAATTTATTTAGCATAAAGGTCCAGCAACTAAAGAATAACTTTCACAAGCAAACAGTCAACAGGGAGGGTTTCAGAGCCCCAAGACTCTCCCTTGGGACCCTGCTGGGTGGGGAGAATGAGGTTCCTGGTCCTGTTTCAACTGAAGAGCCATATTTCTGACATTTTCTATGAAAGTTTATGGCACATTTACCCACCGACTCACACTTCCATAGCGGCATTTCTGCTACAGGTTTACCAAGTGTTAGAGGGCCTGTCTGGAAAATTAAACCTCATTCAATCAAAACGTCTTAGAATACTGGATATAATTACTTTCCACCTACATGGCCTCAAATTTCTACAGAAAATTTTAGGAAATGCTTTAGCACTTCACAGAGTAAACCTGCTATTTATATTAGCAACGTGGTTTAGAAACACCCTAAGAAACGTCCACAGACTCAAATTTCACTGACTAATTTTTCAGGTATTACTCAGTGCTGAAATAAGCTACTACACATTTGCTTTGCTATACAGGTGCTTACTTACAATCTTATACTGTACATATAAATGAATTAAGAAATAATTCAAACCCACCATCTTCCAACTGGGGGTGCAGGAGAAGGTGCACCTCCTTGCTAAAACTTCCAAATCAGGTCCATTTCTGCTGATGCGGGCAGCAACGCAGAACCAAAGAGGTGTGCGCTCAACAACATGCAAGGAGAGTTTTAATACGCCCCTCCCCAAACAAATAAACTCTAGAACGCCAATAAAAAGCTGACTACAGAACACCTGGAGAAGACCAGGAAACAGATGTTATCACCAAGAAGCTAGCCCACAAGCGGATAATACACAAACATGTCAGTGGCATGAAACCATAAAATAAAAAGGGAGGAAAAAAGAAAGAAAACAGAGAGGGGACTAGGAGCGACAGCAGGCGTGGGAAGGGAAACAACCCTGATGGCCACACACCACACTAACGCCAGCTCCCCTTCCTCCCCAGCTGCCTCAAATATTTTCCCTCCACACTGTAACTTCTGTTTAATCTTCTGCCATCTTCTACCTCACCTAGTGGAAGGGATTTTGCAAGACTAAGAGCACAGCTTTGACTACTGTATGGTTATTTGCATCTTATGCCCATACTCCGTTTTTTTCTTTTGGCTTGTCAAGGAGGCACAGAACAATAGAGAAAAGCTCACGAACAATTCACTTTGGAAAGGCGTGGAATGACAGTACACATCGTCTGGCTCAGAGTCTAGCAAAGACAACAGGAATTGGAGGGGCAGATCTCCAGCAAATTAGGAAGTCAAGGCTGAACAAGGGTGACGCAGGAAGAAGGCATGAATTTTCGTCTCCTATACTCAGTATCCTTTCCATCAGCTGTGAGCACCCCGGGGCCCAATACTGACTGTACTCTTTCACAGGCTCTCAATCAGATGAATCTCTTCAACCCGACAGCACTTCCTTATTTAAAGAAGGCACTTAAACAGGCCCAGAATGTCTAACTGCAAAACAGGGCAAGATAATTTATCCCAACCCTCCAAATTCTTGTGTTCCCTCCCATTTTCTCAGGCAGAACATTATCAAATCCTCTGCCCACTGGACCTAAGTACTAGCTTCCCAAATCTTCCTCTGGTCTTAATTCAAACGCCAATCTCTGAATGCAGCAGGCTGATGCTCTTTTATTTTTTTTTTTAAGTGTTTATTTTTAAGAGAGAGAAAGAGGCAGGGGCAGAGAGAGAGGGGGAGAAAGGATCTGAAGCAGCTCCAGGCTCTGCTCCGATAGCACAGAGCCCGACGTGGGGCTCAAACTCTCAAGCCTTGAGATCATGACCTGAGCTAAAGTTGGACACTCAACCGACTGAGGCCCCCAGATGCCCAGCTCGATGCTCTTTTAATACAAGAATCAGAATAATCCACATTGTAGAAGAAAGGTGACTAACTCAAAAGTAAAATTTAAGTCCATTTTGAAACGAAAGTCCCTAATTTAAGAAATAGGACATGTGCATGTAGGATGCACAACCGAATCTACTTAGGAGGGCAGGAGGCAAGTTTTCAGGCATCGCTTGCATCCAAATCAACTCTTACCTGTCCTGTCAAGGAGGCTATGACATACACGAGTCAGCAGAGCTCCCTTCAGAGTCTTCATGAATCACTAAGTCTGACCAACAGAGTCTGCAGCTGCGTTTCCAGCAAAGTCCAAGCTGTGACACTACAAACCGTAACCTTTACCTGCAGCTTACGTGTTTCCCTTAACTCAGACGGCTCGACACAGTTCCCAACTCTGAGGAGAAAGGCGATCTAGAAAGAAATGAAAAAAGGCTCCAAAAAAATGAAACTTAGTAGAAGGCAGAAATACTAGGTGGAGGGGACAGGAACTATTCCAAAACAGCCACTCAAAATTTAGGTTTTTCTTACAAATGGGAGTGTTAAATAAGGAATACCATTTTAGAAGAGGTTTTACAGTTAAAATTAAAGGTGGCTGCTTCTTTCGGGTAAAGGGGGGGAGACAAAACATGAAACAGAAGTACAAAGAAGAGAGAAACAGCCAGCAATCCAGCCTTTGCCCTACGATGGGCTGCAGACTGGAGGTTCCACAAGAGGTGTTCCTCCTCCACCCAAACTAGGAGACAAAGCTTCCATTTCGCCAGAGCAAAGGTCCCACCCCCAGGTATTCACACGCACGTCCACGGAGAGGCCTGTGCTGGCCGGTTCACAGCGGCCTTATTCGTGATTCACGCAGCCAAGTGCTGGAGACAGCCCAGGAGCCGTCAGGCCGTCCAACGTGACTGGGTGGGCAGATCGGGACACGTGCACACACGGACACTACTTAGCACCAAACAGAACGAACTTCTGGTCAACGGCACGAGGGAATCTCTCTCATGCGAAGTGAAAGCAGACAGACACAAAGGACTAAGAAATGTGTGATCCAATTTACATGAAATGCTACAAAAAGCCAGCAGGCCGCTTGCAGGTCCAGGGACCCAGGGAGGCAGAGGGGGTGGTGAACTCCAGAGGGACACCAGGACACTTTCTGGGTAAAGGAGATGTTCCACACCATGGTCATAACGACATTCGCCATAACTAAAACTGCACACTTAAAATTAGCTCATTTTATTGTATGCAAATTTACTTCAATGAAGCTGATTTTAAAAAATAGGATGAAGGAAACAGCCATTCTGATTGAAACCATGATGGACCCACAGCTATGCTGGGTAGATGGCATTACAAGTTTGAGTTACACCAGGAGGAGCCATGTTACAGGAGTTCAAGTTCCTGTAAGACCAGTTCTACTAGGCAGCTATCTCATTATTATATCTTAAAATAGGTTTCTAAAAAATTATCCTCATTTAGATAGGAGCAGAGAAACAAATTTTTCCCTTTCTTATTTTCTCTCTATATCCACCTCTTTAATCACCACAATGCCTTGAAAACGACTTGATACCCTGAACAAGATCAACTTACTGCTTTTTATTTTTTATTTTTAAGGAATCTCTACACCCAATGTGGGGTTCGAACTCATGACCCCGAGATCAAGAATCGCCTGCTGTGACGGCTGAGCCAGCCAGGTGCCCCTTGGACTACTATACAATTAACAAGTTTATTTTACAACAAGCATAAAGTGTGAACAGAGCTTGAACATGTTCATCATCAGTTTTTAAAGTTGGGGAAAGGGGGCTTATAATTCTGACAAATTCTCCTAAACCATTTTTTCCTGTTCCTAAATTTTTAAAAAGGTGTAATTAGGGGCGCCTGGGTTGCTCAGTTGGTTAGGCGTCCAACTTCGGCTCAGGTCATGATCTCATAGTTCATGTGTTCAAGCCCCATGTGGGGCTCTGTGCTGACACTCAGAGCCTGGAGCTGCTTCGGATTCTGTGTCTCCCTCTCTCTCTGACCCTCCCCTGCTCACACACTCTCTCTCAGAAATAAAACATTAAAAAAATTTTTTTAAAGGTGTAACTGACATGAATTTATTGCATTTCAACAAAAGACACCCCCCAAATAAAGGTAGCATAGATTATTCTTTTCAGGAATTACTTCTGAATGTTTCCTAACTCTTCAGAAAATACAGAGAAAGCAATTTCCTTATACTTTCTTGCTCAATGATTAAAGTTATGTTACAAAATAATTCATGTTCCTGAAGTTTTCAATTCTCAAATAAAAGCTTCCATTTTTTAAAAAAAGATCCTTTTCTTGAAAAAAATCAATAACCAGTATTCAAATATAAAACCTAAAGATAAACTTATAGTAAATTGGGTAATTTGAAGCCAAGAAGACTTCTTCAGGTATTTTTTAAAATTTTTTAAAATAAAAGTATTTTTTAAAATTTTTTAATGTTTGTTTTTGAGAGAGAGAGAGGCAAAGCATGAGTAGAGGAGGGGAGACAGAGAGGAGGAGACACAGAATCTGAAGCAGGCTCCAGGTTCCGAGCTGTCAGCACAGAACCCGATGTGAAACGACGAATCCTGAGATCATGACCTGAGCTGAAGTCAGAAGCTTAACCGACTGAACCACCCAGGCGCCCCAGAACTTAAAAGTATTTTTAAGAAAAATTAGATTTCAAACATTTTTAACTTGTCTACAACTAAGTTCAAATGCTCAAAAAAATAGCAATTTAAGAATAGCTTTTCAATTTGAACAATTTATTTTCCATTTTAGTAGTGTAATGGTCATTATCAATATCACCAAGCTACAATACTCAGGGGCATACACCTTCAGTGAACCCGCTTACTCCCCTGCTGACTCTGCAGAGCCGGGGGGAGGATGCAACAGAAGACACAAATCCAGCCTAAGGTGTTAGGTGGGGTCCTTTCTCCCATAACTCTTACCACTTAGAAGTCTGAATAAATTGTTACTACCTATCCAATAACATGTTAATACTGAATAACTGTTAGGGCTTTAAATATCATTTGCAGTTTATTATATTCTGTTCATTTAGAGTACAGAGTTCATTAAAAAAATTTTAATGTTTATTTTTGAGACAGAGAGAGCAAGGAGAGGCAGAGAGGGGAACAGAGGATCTGAAGCAGGCCCTACACTGACAGCTGAGAGCCTGATGCGGGGCTTGAACTCAGCAGCTGTGAGGTCGTCTGGACGATTAACCAACTGAGTCATCCAGGCACCCAGGTATTGATGTTTTTTAAGTTTTTTTAATGTTTATTTATTTTTGAGAGAAATCAGAGCATGAGTGGGGGAAGGGCAGAGAGGCAGGGAGACACATAATCCGAAGCAGGCTCCAGGCTCTGAGCTGTCAGCACAGAGCTCGATGCGGGGCTCGAGCCCACGAACCATGAGATCACGACCTGAGCCGAAGTCGGATGCTCAACTGACTGTGCCACCCAGGCGCCCCTAGGCTGATTTTTTAAAAAGTTTCTAACAACCATCAAACCTTTTTATTTTCTATAAATCCTCTTTGATTAATCCCAGTTAACAGTTATCTTGCATATAAATATCATCTGTTGCAAATGGGATAAATCCATGGAGAAAAATAAACATAAAAACACCACTGCTAAGAAACAGCACATGTTAATACAAAAGTCACTTTCCTGGTCAAAGTTAAACCACGTAATTCAGCCTCTTACAATCTGATTGACACTAAATTTTAGAAGCTGTCTGTCTTGCTCACCACTGTAGTTCTAATACCTAACACATCTGCATAAAGCAGGTGCTCCGGGAACTCCAGTGCTTATTAGATAATGGACCAACATCTGACCTGCATTTATACATCTCAGGGACACAAACCCAGAGCCTCTGCGGATCAACCACGGGCAATTCAATCTCCCACAGAGAAGTCAAATTACCAGTCTTTTTCATCTTTAATTTTTAGGATCAATCAGGGAATGCTTTAGCAGCATAGAACCTACTAATCTGGCTTAAATTAGCACCTTTCCTCCTTCCAGGCCATTAAATAGTCAGATTAATCTAGAACAATCTGAAAATAGAAGGCCAGATGCCAAGTCTGTGTGTTTAAGATTTTCTAATTTATACTACGTTCTCTCCGGGAATTGAGCGGCACCCACAGGTCACAGAAGACGTAAGAGCACTGAAGCAGCAATCTCTTTCTCACATCGTTAAAATACCCACACATATACTTTCACTACTTCTGCTGAAGAAAGCACTAGTAACTGGACTAATTTTCAATTCTCCCTTAACTGGCAACAAAAATAGAAGCGTATTAGCTTGAAAACTATCTAGTAGGCGTCAACCCCAGAATCTGCACTGACTGGGTTTCCACCTTACACAGAGGTCTTGAGAGTTTCAATTCTTACGTTAGTGATACCTGACTTATAAATTGTCAGGCAGGCCGGAATCAGTAATTCCAAGATCAGCTTTTTCTCTTCTGCTTCTAGGTGGGGTTAAAATCATTAAATAAATCACTAGGCCCCATAGTCTTTGAAGCCCTCAGCCCGAAGCTTCAGCAGCAACAACAGGTACCTATCACAGCTCCTGGGTCTTAAATCTTAAAAATCCAACCTGGCTCTAGTACTGGCCTCAGCGTATTGATGGGAAGTCAAGTCCCAGTGACCTGGCTTTACATTAGCCAAAAACAAAGACCAACTGAGAAGATGATTCAAAATGTCAAGAGATAAAGTAGGTTTAAAAAGAGTTTTCCTGAACTGATCACTAAACATGGATTTCCCTACAAAACCATCCACATCAGTGTTTCTCCAGTACATGGAGTAACAGCAACAGAAAATGACAAATTCCCAGGTCCTCTCCCAGCCCAGCCGCATCAGTTTCTGGAGACTGAGACCAAGCTCCAAGGGATCCTTGGATTCCAGGTGGAGAACCACCACTTTACACACACACTGGCAAGGGGCGCCTGGGGGGCTCGGCTGGGCATCCAACTTCAGCTCAGGTTGTGATCTCATAGTTCATGGGTTTGAACCCCACATCGGGCTCTGTGCTGACAGCTCGGGGCCTGGAGCCTGCTTCCGATTCTGTGTCTCCCTTTTTTACTCTGCCCCTCCCTCGCTGGTGCTCTGTCTCAAAAATAAATAAGTGTAAAAACATATTTTAAAAAAAAGTATTTTGGATACATACTGGGAAATATTATTTTAGCACAGAACACAGTAAGTACATATTTGTAGCTAAGAAGAAAATAGTTTCAAATTACTGTAAAGATGGTAACTGTAGAATAATTTAGTTCAACTAAAATTAGGAC